CTATCTATCTATCTATCTATCTATCTATCTATCTATCTATCTATCTAATCTATCTGTATATCTAAGCAGGAACTTCTGAAGGCCTGTTGTACTGGATAATTTGTCTAAAACAGTTGTTCTTAACCTCTGGGTGGAGACCTCTTTAGGGGTCACAGATCAGATACCCTGCATACCAGATATTTGCTTTACGGTTCACAATGGTAGCAAAATTACAGTTACGAAGTAGTTGGGGGCCACTGCAACACGCGCAACTGTGTTAAAGGGCCACAGAATTAGCAAGGGTGACCACCACTGGTCTAAAAGCTAGGCCCACCTCACAGAGGAGAGAAACAGCACCACAGAGAGAGTTTGGAGAATTCAGCTCAGAAGCAGCAGGGTAGGATGAATCCTTAATCCTTGAAGCTAAGGATTTTTCATTTATGAATCCCTCCTGGGACCAGCACTGAGACCGCTGCTGCAGAATAGATTTAGCTCATGAATCATTCCTATTGAAGAGGATATTTCAAAGGCAGGAGGCTAAAATCTTCGGAGCTCTGATGTTCTGGGTACTGATTTGAGTGCGGGGGGTGGGGGGGGGTGCCGGGGAATCTCGTTCCCGTGTGGTGTTGACTTTCTTTTGCCCATTTTGCAGAAGACAAAGTGGTTTGGGAACGGTGCACATTAAAGAAACATGAGGCTCATTTGCCACCTTTTCTCCATCGGGACAATTGCCCAATACACAGACTACGTCAGCCGGTTGTCTCACACCTCACAGCCCAAGCATGCATTCCAGAAGATATGGCCTTGGTGTCTCCATGCCCCATTGCGACCCCTCATCTTCCTCTCTCTTAAGGGGCCGCAGGCCCTTGACCCTGCAGGCACTAGTGAAGTTGCAGTTGTATACTTTTCCAGCCCCCCTTCATCTGAAGACAGAGGATGGGAAGACTGACAGAGCAGACGGAGAGGGAGAAGGAGAGAGAGCATGTTCATTTGGGATGCCAAGAGGGAACCCGTCAATTTTTAGGTTTTGGAAGATTAGTGAGGCATATGTAACATGAAAGAAAAAGCCCTTTCCTAATTTAAATCTCCCAAACTATGAGGGAATGCTTACAAGAATGAATTCTAAACTTTGGGATTAATTTATCGTTTAGAAATGTAAAGGGTTTGCTAAATGTCAGAGACTTAAAAATTGTAGCCATTGAGAGAGACTCCCATGCAGAGGAAGACTTTGTAGAAGTAGGTGTAGGTGACAGGGAAGACAGGTGCCAGTCCTGTTCTGCTCTGGCAACACTTTGTAAAATTAAAGGCTCTTGGGCTTTTGGTGTATTGCAGTGTAAATTCGACACAACCTGCCTTGAGCACACTCCTGAGGGACCTGAAAGGAGCCGGATTCCACGCTGGTCTCATCTGAGTTCCCCAAATTCCGTCACCGATGCGTATTTGTCATTTGTCATGGGTTGCTTCTCTTTGTTGTGACTTCTGCCTGCCTTGGGAAGGAGCTGGCTCAGTCTCTGAGTCACGCAGCCCCGTGCTGGGTCCCATTCCTCTGTGGGCACTGATGAGCCAGAGGAAGGGAGAGCTCTATTTAGAGGAAGCCAGAGGGAATGGATTGCTGCGGGCTGAAGTTAGAGAAGGTAGCAAACAGAAATTCAGGACCCTGGAACGTAGTTAAATAAGAAACGCTCTGCAGGGGTTGTCTTCCAAACGGAGGGTTTTATATATTTAGTTATATACACACAGTGATCTTTCAAAAGGCATTTAGAGGGGATGTTAACTTCCAAGTGAACAGGCTGTCACATTTTAACGTGTTTTTTTTTTTTTTTTTTTTTTTTTTTTAATCTCCAAATTTTGGGTCTGGCACCCAGAGTGGTGTTACCTTTATCTTCTGTTTAAGAGAACAATGCATAATCGTCCGTAAACTGGAAAGACTAACTCCTCATGATGCTGCATTGAAGGGGGATTTTTAGGTAAAATAGCACTCACCGGGCAGTATTGGTCCTGAGGATGATAGGCACCATTATGCAAGGTGGACTTATTAGAAGAACATGCAGGTTGGTAGAGTGGATGCTGGCTGCTGCTGCAGACAGACCGAGGGTGGATTTGTCTCATCGCTTGGTGTGATGCTTGGAAGGGTTGTTCCTTGGTTCAAGCACTAGTGGTCCTCTTCAGCACGCTGAGAGAGACTGCTGGAGACACCTGGTGATTTTTTGTTTTTTTTCTGTTTAGAGGGACATCTGGAGGCCACAGGTATGGTTTAGTCTTTCAAGCCACTTGGCAAATCTGCCTAATGATCCTGAGCAAAATGAAGAATGCATGCTCTCACATGCTACAGGCTTCTTGCTTTTCCATCTATGGTGTCAGAGGAAACCATTGAAGTCAAGGAGGCCACTGGCAGAGAACAAAGAGAGTCTTGTTGAGTGCCCAGGGGACCGTGTCTTGTTTCTCCTTTCGTACCTGCTCAAGGAAGGCTGTATGCAGTTGGGCATGTTTCTGAAGAGAACCATACAGAACACAGCTGTAAAGCATTTCTTCTGTTTACTCCCTTGGAGGAACAATAGACAGCAGCTCATCCCTCTCTCCTGTGCCTGTCTTATCCCGAAGAGATGATTCAGTGGCTGTCTCTGAGAGGGCATTCCCGGTCTCAGTTCCCATTTCTGCTGCTGTCAGCTCACCCCTGTTGCCCACAGCCTCTGTTCAGCCTAGATCTCAACCATCCTGCCCACCCTAAGGTCTCCCAAGGAACCCATCTCTACTACCTCAGCGGGAAGAGCTTTTCTGTTCACTGAATTCACCTCTGTTCATAGCCTGGTGGTCCCATTATATCTCTGCATGTATGTTTCATCTGGAGCAGGGGTACTTCACCTGATTATAAAAATGCCACCCACACATTCCATATACACCACACAGACAGAACATATACCCTTCAGACACCCTCTTCATATATGTATCTCACACATAGCCATTATACCCACCCCCTCATATTATAAATCTCTCTTCACACCGCGCCACAGCAAATAGACACATATCTCACATACATTATACCCTGTCATACGCCACACTTCTGTTCCACATGTGCATATACATTTGCCATACCACATGCATACTATTTAATATCACACTCCCTGCCCCAGGTTATTTTAGAAGTCTAGTTTTAAGTCAGGAGTCAATAAGAGATGGTCTGTTGGAAGAGAACCACCTAGGAAAACACATTTGAATCAATTATTAATGACTCTTAGATTACCAGTTATTCTCTGGCTGTCGCCACTGAGAAGAAGCTAAAGGGTTATCGTGGATTATTCAAGAGCCCTAGAGGTTTGGGTAGAAGAGACTTTTGATTGGCTGAGTTGGACAGTGAAATTTAACTGGAAGAAAAATCTGTCTTTTTATCATAGGAATCATTTTTGCAGATAGTTTCTGCAGTGTAGGATTCCTGGCTGTGGTCTGTCTTGTTCGTGTTTATGATGGGCCTGTGTGATTTAAATGTGATCAAGGGTTGAAACCCTGACTCTCAGGTATTTGGGGCTGTTTTTCTACAATAACATATGGTTGGAGTAGAGCATTATCTTATGACATCTTAGGTCAAGCCAGCCCCACCCCAGCTTAGTGAGGGCCTGTTGGGAGCTGAACGTTGCAGTGCTAACATGTAGTGAGTTTCTCCCATGCCAGGGAACACCTGTTGTATTCTATTGAATCCAACTCTACACTAATTTTATGCAGAAAGCACTTTGCTAAGTCTACCAAGTGTTAGGCCAACTCTATTTTTAGTGTGTCTAGAACCAAACTAAAATAGAATGTAAACACGTCATCTGATTGATTGTTCTTGATAGGAGAGAGCAGCATGCCAGAATAGCCAGATATGAGAGTAGCCAGGCGTTTCCAAGTTCTGCATTCCTATTGCTATCAATAGAGCAGGAAGTCAGGAGTCAGATGTGCTGAGAAATTGTGGCAACAAGTGCTTGGTGGCACGTCTTTAATGCCTCTGTCCATGGGAGCTTTTTGCACTTGGAAACTCAAATCTTGACTTGGAGGTTCCTTTTAGGAGGGCACTGTGTGATGAAGATCTGAAGGGAAGAGATGATTGAGGAAAAAACAAAGTTGGCTTTCAAGGCACTGGGCCAGGTGTCTGGGTTGAAGTTGTAAAAGTTGTTGGGCATATCCATACCCAGGAGAACACTGGCTTTTGTGTTACTGTTCCTAGAGGTTTATAACTTCCTAGAAGTCTAAAAACTTCAGGTAGACCATCTCTGTAGACCTATAAGCTGTGTTCATGGCAGATGTGTTGCTTACCACATGGGAGAGGACTTGAATAGTCATTTGACTGGGGGATTAAGAGAAGATTCGATGTAGTTGTGTACCTTAAGGCCACACTGAGGCCAAGGCTGTAAGTACTTCAGAATCCCTTCAGTAGGACTTGGAGGATATTGCCTTTCCCATTTCCTCTCATAGGGAGTGATTCCAGGGCCCTCCACATCTCCATACTCGTGGCCTATCTTTAGAGTCTTCATAGATAGAAAAAGAAATTCTGGGCATTAAAAGTGAATTAAGTAATGTTCAAAGAGTATTCATCCCTCTACCTACTAGGTAAAAGAAGTAAAAGTGGGGAAAAGGAAAATGAAAATACCCTGCAAGTATATTTAATTATTAAAAGGAGTAAAAAGAAATAGAACAACTCAGGCTGAGAATTATAGATTTCAAAAAGTGATCAATGGAATGGATTTTCTTGGCTGGTCTGCAAAGAGATCCTGAAGAGAACACTTTGAGAGTAAGGATTTTAGAAAGTTTTCAACAGTGATTAAGTCTGTCCATTCTTAATGTGATTTTATTTGGCATTAGCTTATCTGGATTTGTTTCTGGCCAAGTTCTAAATATTACAAGTTAAACTAAAACCTGCTCACCTTCCTTTTTACCGTTTCACTGCTTGTGTAAATTTGCACGGAGCAGGAGATGGCAGGCCTGGATAGGCCAGGATAGGCCCTCTGCTGGATACAAGGGGGAACACGTTGAGTTATCAGGAAATCCCCAGGGAGCCAACAGCCTTTGTGTGGTTGCTTCCTGTTTGTACATTCTATTTAAGAAGCCCTGGATTGAGCCAGGACTAATGTCCACTTCTACCTTCCACACAAATCATTCTAGAAACTTGTGGTTGTTGCACGGGATCCAGACATGACCCACACAGTCTGCTTGGATTTTACAGACGCAATGACATTATTTGAAAAAGGATGACTCCAGTTCCTCTCCCGTGCATTTCCCAACACTCCTTTGACTGCTTGTGTTTGTATTTTTCACTCATAGGGGAAGTTGCATGACCCTCAGCTTATGGGTATTATACCGAGGATTGCACACGATATTTTTGATCACATCTATTCGATGGATGAGAACCTGGAGTTTCATATCAAGGTAAGTACTTTTAACTAAGAACAAGACAGGACACTAGGCCCCAAGCGATGTTTCTCAGTCTTTCTCCTTTTAAATAGATGTACAACGTGGTTTCTTTTAGTTCAAGTGTCATTCTGTAGGAAGCAGATTCTATGGTGGGTTAATGATTTAGGTCAGTACTAAGCTTTTGGAATGGTTTGCTTGAAATAGGAATGTAAAGAAAATACAAGGCCCAGGATGGATTCATCCTACTCATCGCCTAGATTCTCCCCCTTTCCCTATATGTTTCTGAAGATAGTGCAGGAATATGTCTATCTGGGGGTTAGGACAGCATTCCCCAATGTGAGTTTCAGGGAACACAATCCCCTGTGCTACCAATAGGGAAGCTGCCAGAGAACAGCATTATATGGCAGAACAAACTTGGAAAATACTTTTTTGGCCAGTGCTAAACATATTACAAGTTCAAATGCTGTCTTACATACTGTGACTCTTAAAGGGAATGCACACCCCAACTTCCATTCATTCCCCTTTGAGAAGTCTTGGGAGGGTATTCTCTTGCCTTTTTTTCTCTTCCTCTTTGTTATTATTTTATTTTAACCCAGAAATGCTACTCTTGCTTAAATTTGAATTTAAGGGAGTCCTCTACTCTATTATTGTTTCTACTGAATCATAAAATTTGAACTTACTTGTAAATTCCAGAAGGCTACTTGTTTATGATGAGAGACACATCATAAGGTAGTGACTGTGTGGCCGGTGTGGAACAGGCTGTGGAGATCAGGGAATTCCAGCCCTAGATTTTCTTTTTAAGTTAAAAAAAATAAAAAAGATAGAATTCATATGGCATAAAATTGATCCTTTAAAAACATATAATTTTGTGGAGTTTAGTATATTCTCCAATTGTATAATTATCGGCTTTATGTAAATCTTTACTATTTCCACCCCCCCCCCCCCAACAAGCTTACTTTGCATCACTACTCTTTCCCACCATCTCTAGCCTGTTTTGTTCTGGATTACCTCTCCCTGTTTCTTTGGGGAGGGTCTAGGCATCATGCAGCCCCTTGTTGAAGGTTCCCATCTTTCCAATCCTGCATTCTCCTGGGAAGGAGATGACTGGCTAGCCTAGAGCACTCCCTGCCCTGCTTCTGTGTTCCCAGATACACACAATGTCTGCTTCTCCATCTCTGAGGGCAGAGGGGTTGAAGGGCAGGAAGGAGAAAGGCTGTGAGGAGTGGATGGTGAGTGGGAAGACTGTCCTGAAGGCTTGAACCTTAGTGCACACGAGTCAGTGGGGTTAGTGATGCGGGAGCTGAAATTCAGACAGATGATCCAAGTTACAAATAGGTCTCAGCACCAACTGATACTTGGTACCTTTCTTCCTTCTGGGTTGGCGAGATGGTTCAGTGGGTACAAGCATTTGCCACCAAGCCTGACAAGCCAAGTTTACTCCCTGAGCACCACATGTGAAAGAAGAGAACTGACTCCCACAAGTTTTTCTCCACATGCGCACCAGGCCTCGGGCCCTCCCAACACCCACACAAAATAAATAAGTGCAGCAATCACAAATGCTAAATCTCTCCTCTTATTTATTTCTACAACAAACTATTCCTAAATTAACATTTCAAAAAGCCATAATTCTGCTGTTTGCAGAATTATGAGTTACATCCTGTCTCTTTGTTGCTGAAAGCTTGCTTCTTCGAACCTAGCCAGGTTCCCTTACGTCTGAGGATACAGAGCTTGTTACATTGATGGGATCAAGATTTAGAAGCTTAGTGCTTCTTTAAGGCTGTTTATGCTGACACACTTTAAACTACCATAGCGGTCTTAAGTGATAATCCTGAATAAGATGTTAAACCAATTACTGCCCTGGAAATAGTGTCTTGTGTCAGAATCTTATTATGATTAAGAACGGCGCTGGCATGAGGTGGTAGGAGGAGGGGAAGAATATTCCTTCAGTCTCTACAGTTAAATCTCACAGTGTAGGCTCCCACTGTGCATTTTCTAGTTGAACTTGCTTTGCTATTAATAGGAATTGTAAGTGGGAGGGTGGGATTGGGAGGGAATGAGGGAGCGGGATACAGCTGGGATACAGAGTTAATAAAATATAACTGAAAAGAATTGTAAGTGAACAAGTTATCTGTGTGGACTCTGCATTCTGAACTTACATGCTATCAGGCTAAACAAAAAGAGGCCTGGTTAAGGCAATATTGAAAATCTGCTCCTTAAAGCATCCCACAAAGGTTTTGAACATTATTTCTGATCATGCTGTTGTTTCCCCTGAACAATGCCTATTGGTTTTCCTTCTGCCTGCTCTCACAAAGCATTTGAATTAACAAAATGAATTTTGACACCTAACAGAAGCCTAAATTAATAAATCAGAATTCCGTTTTAGCTTGTATTAAACAGGAACAGGAATTTAATTGCCAGGCTTGGCAGTGCAGGATTCAGGACTGCTTTTTAGATGTAATTAATTTTCTCTGTAATTTGTGGAAGTAAAATCACATGTTTGGGATCACCAAAGCTGAGAGGTGAATATGCATCGTATACATGCATGAAACACATTTAAGAAAAATCTCAGAGGTGGTAAAAATTCTTAATGGCAATCAGACAATCATGAATTCAAATTGCTTGGCACCACCCTAAGGCTGGCTGCAGGGAAAGCCTGGTTAGAGGGGACTAAAATTGGGCTTTGAGGACTGGTCAGTGGGAATGTAGCCACTTGAAAGATTAGAGAGAACAGTCAAGGGCTGGTGGTATAGTCCAGTGGTAGAGTGAGGCCTTCCATACATGAGACCCTGGGTTCAAGCCCCAGAAGAAAAACTCTAGACAATCAGAGCAAACCAAAAGAAACAAAGAACTGAGAGGAGAGACTTCTGAACGTCAGGTAGGAGTGTCCAGAGAGATGGGAATGAGGAGTTTGGCAGATGAACAGACAGGTGGTGTTAGAGGTACAGGTAGCCAGGAGCAGGTGCCAGGTACTAGATGTCAAAGCAGTGATTGCAAAGCTGCCTGGAACTGGGGAGGTGGGGGGGGGGGTTCCAGGTGACAGTGCACGAAAGCTGATAAGCCAGGGCTGAGTCAGAATAAAGATTAGTGCCAGGGTAGAGGAGTCTTCAGGGTTCCCAAACCAGAGGTAGGGTTGGTCCCGTCCTAAAGTTTCCTCTGACAGGCACAGCCCAGCTTTACAACTGTACGGCTACACTCATGGCTGGCCTGATGATGGGATATATCCTGAGAAATGTGTTGTAAGACAGTTTTATCATTCTGTAAGCATCATAGATCACTAGGCAATATGATCTTTTGGGACTGCTACAATTGATGTGGATCACTATATTTTTTTTTGTCCAGTTCTCTTATTTATATTTCAAAGATGCTAGTGGGTATTATGGCAAGTTTATGTGGGAGAAAAGAGTCAGATATAAACAGTGTGGAAAAGCCTGGAAAGAAATTTTCACTTCTTAAAGACTGATGGCTTCATCTGCCAGATCAGGAAATTGAGGCTATGTGTACATTACACTCCTCAGATCTCATTCTTAGTTTAAGCATCTCATGACTTCAGCTACCAGACCAGTCACCTGGGAATTCTGGGTTCTGGTGTCTGAGACTCTGATTCAGTAGGATTGCAGTAGTTTTCAGGGTTCCATAATTCTGTAGCTGATATTGATATGACTGGGGTTGGGCTGAAGTTTGAGGATAATTATTTGAAGGCTTCCTTTTCCTTCTATAGTCTTTTGCTTCGTTTTGGTTTTTGAGAAAGATTATCACTCTGTAGCCCTGGCTGGCTTTAGATTTCTGACAATCCTTTCACTCAGCCTTCTGACCCGGGATTATAGGCATATGCCCCCACACTTGGCCAGTTGTCTTTATTCAACCCCGTTTGTTCCAACCCTTCACAGACTCCAAAGCTAGTCCCTTCATCAGTACTCTCCCAGGTATCTTTCTGAGCTCCTGGAGTTCCCAGCATCCTCAATTAAACTCTCCTTGCTTCCTTCATATTAATGTGTAAGCTTTGTTTGCATGGATCTGACAAGGCTGTGGCATCACGCAGTCAGGTGAGGTCTACTATGTTGGCGCAACACCTGTTCAGGATGCCTTCTCTCGTGGCTATTACCACACACGGGCATTTGCTTGGTATTCAGCTAAGGCAGAACTGAGTCCTCTTGTAAGAGTCTGTCTAGCATCTCATGTAAGGAACACCTGGATGGAGACCAGAGGAGCCAGAGCATGGAGCTAGCGAGTGGTCCATGTTTGGCAGATGGGCAGATCACAGGGCCAAGCAGGAAGAAACACGTGAGGGCTGGCAGTAGCTCAGTGCTCAGGACTCTGACCTGCTACTTGGGGTCTTCTCAGCCACAGCAATAGCTTTTGTGAGTTTAATAGCGATGTTTTGGAAATGTGATAATGGTATTTCTATTCCAATTTCAATTTGTCTTTTACTAGGTTTCCTATTTTGAGATCTACTTGGACAAAATAAGAGACTTGCTTGATGGTAAGTTGCACCTGAATTTGGCTGTTTGCTTGATAATTGAAGTTCAGGGGGGGTTGAGCTGAGTTAGGGCACTTCTGCCTGGACAGCTGATGGAAACTTAGAGTGATGTTTGCCTTCAGGCTGTGAGCTCTTCTCAGCTACAGCTTAAACTTGCAAATTGGAAAGGATTAGGCTTGCCTATTCTTTTTTTTTTTTTTTAACCATCACTATTCTTCTTACAACACAGGATTTTTAACTTTCCTTTTCTTCTTTGCATACCATCATTTTTGTCACTACAGTATCCAAGACCAACTTGGCTGTTCATGAAGATAAAAACAGAGTCCCCTATGTAAAGGTATGAGAAGACTTGTGTTGATGCAGCTAATTTCTCTAGTCTCTGTCCAAATACTTATTATATGAGATGTTATAAAGAGTATCCAAAAAGCATCGTTAACCCTGAGCCTTATATCATGGATGTGGCTATAGAAATCAACACTCAGCTTCTTTTGTATTGTAGCTTTCCTGTTTGTGAATTATATATATATATATACACCGAGGATCTAACCCAGTGCTTCCTGTATAAGCTATGAACTAGTATACCCAGCCCTCTTTATGAAAGCTGTTATGTAAATATTACTATATAGTATTGCTCCTTTTAAAGAGGTTTTGGGATTGAATGCAATGGTTTATGCTTTGTACCGCAGCGGATGTCTGTTGTAGCATGGTGGCTGGAATGAAATGATGGAAGCTGAGGAAGTACCTTCCTCATTTCTTCTCCTCTCATAGCTATTCTTCCTTTAATTTCTGCCTACTGAAAGCATTGCTACAGGGTATGAACACAAGCTTAAAAGGCTTTTCCTCCAGCTTTACATCCAGTTTTCCCAGGGCTAGCTCATGCTTTTCTTTAATGTAGAATCCAAGCCCCAGGCAAGGCAGAAACACTCTTGGTCAGCATTGCAGCCTCTCTGTTTGTCTGTACCTTTAGGGAAAAAAAAAAAAAAGCTGTTTAGCTGCTTTGAAATGCTGTTGCTTTCTGTTGCAGTGGCCAGCCTGACCTGCTTTTCACTCTTGCAGGGATGTACCGAGAGGTTTGTGTCAAGCCCAGAGGAGGTCATGGATGTGATAGATGAAGGCAAAGCAAACCGACATGTGGCTGTAACAAGTAAGTGACGTGGTGACGTGTACACCATCACGTAGAACACCAGTGTCTGCCCTGTGTGCAGGATGGCCGGGCAAGGAGGCACATGTGACGCTTGCATGGGAAGGCAGCAGACAGACTCTGGCCCACGTGCAGCGTGACTGCATGGAGTACTCAGAGGTCCTGAAAAGTAATGTCGAACATGGAAAAACCACTGGCGTTCTACCAAGTGCAAGGAGGGAGTTAGAGCAAAGTCCCTCAAACACATGCTCACAGCAGACACTCCCAAACGCTAATGTGCCAGGCGACTTCTGCACATGGCTCACGTCTCAGGGAGTTCCACGTCTGTATTAGAGCAGCAGGGGCTCCTTGAAGAGCTAGCACTATCTTTTATCAGAGCGATGTGGATAAAGGAGTATGATTTCGGACAGAGCTGAAAGAACTAAGAATTTCTAGCTTTGAGGAGGAAACAGAAATCAGGAGAGGGTGTGCGGGCAGGGCAGGGCATCCACGTTCTGGGTTCTGATGCTGAGGAAGATGCGATGTGCTGCTGAAGCTAGGGAGCCAGGCCTGACCAAGTGTCAGGAGAACTCTCTAAGCCTGGCAGCTGCCCCTAGTGAAGCCTGCCGCCGAGGAAAGGAGTGAAGGTACTGTGTGGAGAGACTCAGGCAGTAGCTGATGACCGGTCTACATTCCTATAAGAGCCTGGTCTGATGCTCCTCTGTGGATGGGCTCCAGTTCTGTGACTGAGAACTGAAATTCTTAGCCTCTTCCCCACCCCATGGCTTGTCAGAGGACACTCATGTACCTGGCAGTTTTCAGAGCTGACCTAGGCTCTCGTAGAGTGTAGGAAACATGGGTTCCCTCTGCCTGAAACCCGAATGCACACGAAACTCTCTCACTGAGTTTCCTAAGCTGTTAGTTGTGAGTTGTTCACGGTGTACCAGAATCGGCTGCCAGCTTCAGAGCTGAGCATCTAGGATAGTATTAGTGTTCTTATTCTGCCAGGGTTTTTAATTTATTTGTGTGTGTGTGTGTGCCTGTGTGCACGGTTGTGTAAAGGTGCATGTGGACATTAGAGGACAGCTTTTGCGAGTGGGTTCTTCCTCACATGTGGGCCCCTAGAAATTGAACATGGATGTCAGGCTTGACAGCGAGCATCCTGACTTACCCACTGAGTCGTGTTTCTGTTTTAGTGCGGGAAGTGTATTTAACAGTGCTCTGCTGTTAAAAGTCCATTTGCATTGTGGGTAACATCTCATCATGCATCTCCACAATGCTGCCTCTTCCCCAGCAGAGACCTGAGACCTTCCCCAGCTCATACCCTTGCAGCAGCTGCTTCACTGGCTGTGTCAGCCCCCCAGTTCCTGTTTTCATTTTCCAGATCAGCTGGGCCGTTCAGGATGCTGTGAGGTTCTGTAGAATTCTAAAATTTTAGGTAGATTTTTTTTTCCCTTTCTGTAGAAAATATCATTGAGATTTTGATACAGTTGTATTGCATGGAGTATTTTGACCAATATTTACATATGTTTTAATGTGTTTGCATGTGTGGTGTGTGTGAGCAGGATCACATATGGGCAGGTACCTGTGCATGTGTGCATGCTTTGTGTGTGTGTGTGTGTGTGGCCCGAAGTTGATGGTGGACAGCTCTTTGGCTTGATCTTGACATTTTATTTTTATGGAGGCAGACTTTCTCACTGACACAGAACTTTCCAGTTCCAGCTAGTCTAGCTAGCCAGCTAACTCTGGGCCTTCTCCTGTCTCTGCCTCTGTCTCTGCCTCTCCCCAGCACTAGGATTACGGATAGCCGTCATGCCTGCCCAGCTTTCACAGGGCTTCCAAGAGTCCAAACTCCAAACTTCTGCTTCTATAGCAAAGCTTCAACTTTTCAAGTCATTTCCTCAGCCCCAATTTTGACCTCTTTTTTTTAAATTTGTATTATTTATTTTCTATTTATAAGTGTTCTGCCTGCATGTATGTCTTCTCACCGGAAGAGAACACCAAATGGCATTATAGATGGTTGTGAGCCACCCACCACACATATTGCTGGGAATTGAACTCAGGACCCTTGAAAGAGTAGCCAGCGCTCTTAACCTCTGAGCCATTTCTCCAGCCCCAATTTCGACCTCTTAATGCTATTTAATTTTTTAATGAATGATCATGGGTTATGTTTCCATTCATCTGTATTTGCTTTAATATTTTTTAGGCAATACTTTGTAGCTTTTGTCTAAACATCCGTTATTTTTCTTTCGGTTTATTTATATTTTATCCTTTCTATTGCTATTGTAATAGATCATTTTTCAAATTTTTCAGGTCAGGAATTGTTAGTAATGTATAGAAACAAATGCTCTTTACATGCTGCTTTGGAACATGCAATGCTGCTAAATGTATTTATTTGTGACTTTTAAAAATGGGAAGCTTCAGAGTGTTTTAGGAACAACCTGGTAAGACGCTTTTTGAGGGATCGTGAAAGTTGAATGGGACATTTGTCGGGCTCTGGTGGAAAAGGAAGTACTTTCCCTGCACCCCGACCTAGTGAAGCACACTTACTCTGTGAGGCCTCTGTGTGTTTAACATGGCTTATGGAGGTGTGTGTCTTCCTCTTCTTCCTTGAAGGAAGTTTGTGGTGGTCCTGGTAAGCCAAAGCTACACACATGAGTAGGACAAACTGAATCAGCTACTACGTGTGAAAAAGTCCGAGAGTTTCCGCAGGACCAGCAAGAAGCTGTGGGCTTCTCGGTGGGTGAGATTAGTGTAGGGTATGAGGTATAGGGCTTCTTGCAGACCCTGAGATAATACTTTAAATTGCTCAACTAGAGGGTGAGGTTAATTCCTTTGTTACGTGAAGACATTGTAAATCCGTCATCTCTAGAATGAGTGGGTTTTTATTTATATATTTTCTCCTTTTAAAATTAGAAATGCTGGCCTCAGATACATTCTGAGTGACCTGATTGGTTGAGCTCCAAAGACCTGAGGTTTGCTACCTATGCTCACTTGTTCTCTGTAGGGCAATAAACCAGTCTTTCTTTTCAGACATGAATGAACACAGCTCTAGGAGTCACAGTATCTTCCTGATTAACATTAAACAAGAGAATGTGGAGACTGAAAAAAAACTCAGTGGGAAGCTGTATTTGGTTGATTTGGCTGGGAGCGAAAAGGTAATTGGTTCTTATTTAGATTGTCTGTAATTTCCCCCTATTATTTGCTCAAGCATACAGTTGTATTTTTGTTCCTTTTACTTCTTGGTTTTTAAAGAGGTTTAAAATGTTGAGGCATGGTATTGTCAAGTTTCTTTGCTTTCTCATTTTCTTCTCTGGTCCGAAAGACCCCTGTTTGGGTCAGAGGCATGTGCTTCAAGGCTTGTAGCTGATGGCATTCAGCAGGTGTAAGTACGTCTTAGCCTGTTGAGGCAGCTGCACAAAGGTGGGAAGGGTGTTCTTAGGATGATAGCAGCCCACCCGTTGTGTGGACGCCAGTAGGCTAGGAAGGGCTCTACCCCTGGAGCATGGTGGCCCTGCTTCTGCAGCTTTGCCTTGCTGAGGAAGGGTCTGGAGTCTGGGCTCTGCCACTGTTCCTGTTCTACTGGCAGTGGGTCTGAAGCAACAGGTCTCCCATGAGGGACTGGTTCCTCCGGGTTGTGAAGCCTTCTTTGGTCTCATTGTGACCCTCTTTCTGCAACTGTACTCTGTTGTGTGCCCGCAGGCACTAGCTAATACCATATCCGGAATCACCACTCTTCCCTTCTCAGCCCCCTCCACTGCCCCAGGGGATGTTCCCACTGCCACGCTCAGGTAGGGCACAACCCCTTTAGGCACCATCACAGAGCCAGTTCGTATGCACAATGCCTGTTTGTGACATCAGCTGGTCCTCATCAGGGCTGGCCTTGAAGCTCAGTCAGTTTTTCTAGCTGTGCAGGTGATTGTCACCGCCTCACACCTCTAAGCTCCTAACCATGGCCACAAACATCTACGTGAGTCATTGTTTGGGAATTGTCCTCTTTCTTGCCTTTGTTCCAATCGGGAAAGCATCGCATATTTCTGGCTGGGCATCTCATTGTTGTGAGTGTGAGCTGGCCATGTTCTCAGTTCCTCCTCAGGATCAAGGGAGCACATTGTTCAGTTCTAGACTGACCACCAACTTGACTGCCCTACTGGGTACAGGCTGGTACAGAAGGCCTTGTGAAGATGAGTTGTTTAGGGCTGAAATACACCTGGCAGCTGCCTCTTGCTGACAATTGGGTGCTTCTTGCTAATGGTACTTAGGAGGTTATTTCAAGTGTTCCTTCTAAGTTTTGTTGTTGTTTGTGTTTGTTTTCCTTTTCCCTAGATGAGTCTGTATGAATGTACTGTCTTGAGAACAGAGCCCTGGGCTTTTGTTCCCATTACTTCAAAGGGCCATCCTTCCCTTAGGCTGGCAGTGAGCTCATCGTCCTTGCCTGCCAAAGGAAGCTGATAGATAGCCTTGCTGCGAATATTTCATGGAGTTAAGATTGTCAAATTAGAGATCACTTAAAAACTCCTGTAATAGGCTGCTGCTTTTTGTGCCCTGTATTCCATGATGTCTGTCTGTAAACAAGCTGCTCTCCATGGTTCTGGGGCAAAAGTCTGGCCTATTTTCAGAACCCTGCCCCTGGACAAACATTCCCCTCTGTTATTGGGGTGGGGTGAGATGGGCTCTCCTTTGTATGTATTTTAATCCATCTTGTTCCGTTTAAAGTTATTTCTCCTCTTTCCTTTTTTTATTTATTTATTTTTAAGAGAACAGCTGTTTACTCAGCTTTTGCCTAGGCAACTAGGACAAATCTTACCAAATCCCCTCCCCTCCTTAAAAAAAAAATCGGCAGCGTTTATAACCCGCTGTCTGTGGAGTAAATGCTGTAAATGTGAAATGATCTGTACTAAGACAGCAGAGGAGGCACTGGGCATGGAGGGAGAAGAAAAAGCAAATTTACAGTATAACACACACACGTTCTCGTCTTTTCACGTCTCCTCAAGCCTTTTTAGATACCCCTTCTTTCCTTCCTTTGCCCTTCCACTCTCTTTCCCCTTGCTGCAGAAACAACTAGAGAAGGTCTAAAGTCATAACGCCCCCTCCCATCTTTTCAGTCCTTTGCCTGAGACTGGAGCTTATAAACATTTTCTTCACTATGCCCCACCAGACCCCACCTGACTGGGAGGCTGTGGCTAGGCCCCCAGGCCTCAGCTCATTACGGTGACAACACTTGTGGACCCTGGTTTTCCTGGATGGATGTCTCCCCGGGAAGTAGCTCCAGTTTCCCCCCTTGAGGCATCTCAGCCCTTCCACTAAAACCCAATTGAGAGGAAAATGACAGCAGGAGAGACCTCAGCTTCTGGCTCCAGGGACAGCGGGATCCGGGTGGTTCCTACCTACTGTCGTTCCCTGGACAGTTCCCTGGAGGGCCTGCCTACTTTCCCTCTGTGAGTTGGGCTTTCTGCTTTGTGCTCTCTCATTTGTCCTCACGGCTTTTTCTGTTCTTTGGTAGGTCAGCAAAACTGGTGCCGAGGGAGCTGTTCTCGATGAAGCTAAAAATATCAACAAGTCTCTGTCTGCTCTTGGAAATGTGATCTCTGCCTTGGCAGAAGGGACAGTAAGTAATCCTGTCACCGTCTATTAAATAGTATTATGGGAAGCTGCCTTTGGGATTTGTGTATTCTCTCTGCCATATATCCCGGCCATTCATTCGTTTTCCACTTTGCAAGAGAGTAGAGGGATTCCTGGCTGGGGTGCCTGTTGCTGCGAGACCCACTGCACTAGAAAGCGTGAATGGTGATGCTAACCTCCTATGACATGGGTCACGGAATGGACATTCTTTGGCAAGATCCGGTGACCTGGCTGCAAATCCTTATCCCACATGTTTCTAAGTTTGGCTTGCTGGCTTCTGTAGTTTTTCTTTGAATGGGCTGTCAAAACCAATACTCCTTCTCTTCCTAAATAGAAAACACATGTGCCATACCGGGACAGCAAGATGACTCGGATTCTCCAGGATTCTCTCGGTGGAAACTGTAGAACGACGATTGTCATTTGCTGTTCTCCTTCAGTCTTCAATGAAGCCGAGACCAAGTCCACGCTGATGTTTGGACAGAGGTGCGTGTGGGGTCTCAGAACCCATGCTCTCAGGGTTCTAGATCTTAGATGTGGATGGCTTGGGGCAATGGTTAACCAGGCAAATCATTATTAAATTGCACCTAGCAGGTGATCTGTAAACTTGAGGCATTATTTATTGAGGTCACGGGGATTGTGTTTTCAGTAGCGGTCACCAACGTGCCTGCCAGAGGAACAATGTTTAACAAAACAAAACAAAACAGAGCACCCAACTCAATGGTACAACTATTTTTGGTCTTCATGGACATGAAACCTAACCTTTAGCTCTATACAATTTCACATCCACTATCCTGAAGATAGTGGATAACACTTTTAATTCTGGAATTTGGAATCTATTGCAAAGTTGTTTATAAAAACAACCAGAGACTTAGATAAAGGCAGAGTAGAGGCATACATAATGGAGGAAAGGAATCCGATGCATTAATCCTGAGGGTGGGAGGCCTGAGATACGTGTGAAGGAAAGGGGTAGAAAATGACCACAGGCCTGAGTCAACACGCCCTGCCTCTGAATTTTAGTAGGTGGGCAAGCATGAAGTGCTTGGTAACGCTAAAGCAGTGTCCACAGGTATGGATGGGTTCTTACCTTCTTTGCCTTTCTTAACACACTCCTTTTCACCTACCTGGCCCTTTGCCCACAGCTGGTTTCTTCAGTCTTGTTTGTTCACTCACCCAGACCCCTCTTCTCAGCTGTGTTTTGGGGTGTTGGTCACCTAAGCATGGGACGCTGATCTGAGCATCTTTGGTGCCTGCTGGGCTGAACCCAGATAGATGTGCAGAGGAGGGTTCTCCTCCCACTGTTACATTCAGTGCCAAACAGCTGATGGCCATCTCTGTGGACCTTCACTGCCTCAGATGTTAACGGGGCTTACCAGTACATCCCTGCTTTAGTCCTGGGAGTATGTGTTGTATGGTTATGCCCAAGAAGTAGTTTCAGATGGGGCAGATATGTGTGAGAAATTACTACAACTTGCTTGAACTGCATCACATCATAGAAATTTTCTGAGCCTCAGCAGGATGGAGAATTATTCAGCTGTGGGCTGTCAAAATAATAATTGTGTTGAAATGTTGTAGAATCATCTGTCTTTTAACCTGGATTTGGCTCCCTGCTTCTTCTGAAATGACTTCCTTGAATAGACCAATGTTGAGGCAGTGCCATTGCGGTAGGGTGACACCTTTGTTTCCTGGCCATTGAGCCATTTTCCCCTTTTCTCTGAGCCTCACTCACATTTCCTTGCCATAGAGATGAAGTGGCTCCTTCCAAGGACTTTTGGGGGGATGACATGAATTGCTTCCGTTTTCACTTTGCCCAAGGGCTGCTGGTACAGAGGAGGCTACACTAATTTCAAGCCCACCTTAAACACTCCAACAGTATTGAGAATTGGAGAGGTCTTGTAGTGGATAATACTAGACTGAGAATAAGGAACAGTATTGTAATATAAAGGATGGATTTAGAGGAAATAGATTTCACTTCTGGAACTAATGGATAAAGAAGTGCTACTGGCAATTTATGCTTCTAGGAAAGGGAAGGTAGTATCAACCAAGCTGGATCTACCCCAAGTGCCAGATAACCAGGGTTCATTTTGCTCTTATTGCAGAACCTTGGGCAGCCTAAGTTCTATGGTTCTCCCAAGATGCCATGGGAGTGTCTATTTTTTGCTGGGCAGAAGGGCTCCATGCCCTGAATAAAGAACAGCACATGTTTTAAAGATGTAGAACACAACAGAGTCCACAGGTGTCTGAAGGCACGCTGTGAAGAGCCGAGCCAGCCTTTGTTAAAGACTGTAGGTGTCTAAGTCTCATTTCCTCAAGCTTGTCTCTTTAGCCCTCTGAGTGCCCAGCACTCTGCCAGTGCAAAAGTAGAAACCGCCTCCTGTGCATTAGAGGGCAACAGGTAGTCCAGATACCTGGCAATCAAATAGCCAGATTAAAACATTTGTGTGGATTTCTTTTAGCCTCTAGCATTTTATTCTTTGGTTTTAAATTACTCTTCCATAGTACTTTTCTAGCATTTTTTCAGAAGAGATATTTGTAACTTCCAGATGCACGAACTCAAATCACCCTGTTATCTTGGAAGTCTGTTTAATGTTCCTTGATTTGATTGGGGTTGGGGGAGAATTCTTCCTTCACCAACAGAGGGACACATCAATCAGTGGGTCCTGGTTCTGCACCAGTAATTCAGTCTGTTTGTATGTTGAATGGGAAGGGGATTGATAACTCAGGGAGAGCGGGAGTCTTTGTGCTCCTGGTGTGCACTACTTTCAGAAGGAAACCATGCCATCATTTTAATCAAGCCACCTGCCAGAGTGACAGCTGGGTTCTGCAGAGACTGAATAGTGTACATGTAAAATTCATGTCACAAGAGTGTGAGAACAAATTACCTGCAGAGACAGAGTGAGCAGTTTAGTTAAGGCATACTTTGGTGTACTTGACATAAAACCAAGAATTAAATCACCTCTGTTGGAGAGAGCCTGTTGCTGGGACACCGGTACGGTAACTGTAGCTCTTGGAGGAAGAGATACTGTAGAGTGTAAGTTTAACTAGAGATCAGCTCTTCACTGGGTGTCAGAGTTGTAATTCCTCTCGATGACTAACTTCCCCTCAGAAGCAGGGAGCCTTTTCCAGGCCTGGAGAATGCTTTGGAGCGGAAGTGAGTTCTGAGGAAAGCATAGGTGTTTACTTGGCAAATGAGACTGTTCAGCTCAGAAGTTGTGATGTTAATTCTGTACCCAAATGGCTAAGCTCTTTAATCATACACTGACCCAGATGATGCTCTGACTACTTTTTAGATGGTTGATGTTTGTACTCAGTTGACTGAGTCAAGTAAATGACCCTGGGTAATGAATGTGGCCCTCCTGATCATTCAGGGGCCTTGAAGAGCAAAACCTAGGGTTTCCCAGAACTGAAGACCAGAATACACATTTGCGCCTACATTTCCAGCTGGCTGCATGGACCTGACTTAGCTTTGTGACCCCCCCCCCCCCAGACACATGAGCCAGTTTCCTTAGAAAACAAGATGGAGATGAATACTGGACTACCCCTCCACAGAGAGCACTGCCCTCTCCCTCAGTCTCCTCCTTCCTCTCCCTCTTTCCCCTACTTTTCCTCCTCTTTCTCCCAACATTTCCTGTGTAGAGCATTCATTACAGACTTCTATGTGTTGAAGGTGTGAGGTTGTCTAGAGCCTCCTTGTTCAAACACCATACTCTTTGAACACCTGGAGAACAAAGGAAGATGCTGAAGGGAGAGGTGCCAAGAACAGGCATCTTCCTGCTCCATAAGGAGGCCAGAGTAGTTAGAAGAGACTCCAAACACAGCCAGTGTGCTTGTCACTTTGAACCACAGCCACCAGTGAAGGTAAGTAGAAGAGATCAATGAGGAAACAGGCTAGGGTGGGACTTTTCGAGCCACCGACTGTAGGTGTTGTCCGATGCGTGAAGGGCTTCTTTCAAGTAAGTGCACGTGATGGGCATGGCTTCAGCATGTCGGGCATGAGTGCTCAGCCTCAGCCATTGAAGTAGACACGCTTAGTCCTCTTAGGCCCATGTGTGAGCCTCTTCATGTGTGAACTGGATATTCTGGGATGGAAGGTCTGCGGATTGCCAGGAAGGTGGTGATACTCGAGAGCAGAAAGGTGGCTGTCTTTTCATTCCTCAGTAGACATTTCTAAGAGAATCTTTTCTAATGTAACCATCTCAGTGTTTGCATCCAAATGGAAATTTTGCTGTGTCCCGTGATCACTGTTGGCTGCACTTGGAACTGTCTTTCCCTGAGGCTTTAAGGCCTTTAAAAAACTTGGCCTCATTCTCTCCCTGGAGGGAGAAGAGAGCTGATACCCAGGCAAACCCAGATGACATATTATTGAAGTGGTATTTGAACCACTGCAGAAAGGCAACACAAGGAACTGTAAAAAAAACACCATGATAATGGCATCCACACAATGAGCCAAGTGGATCTTCTGTTAGGGAAGAACAAGATTAAATAAGGACTCTGTGACTAAGGAGCCACAGGCTAGGCTTTTTTGCTCAGTGCTAGCTGGGGTTCCAGCTGTAAATAGGCAAATGTGTCAGCACTCTTTAGGGTTAATCACAGGGTCTTACAGTTAAGATTAGTAAATAGCTAGAATACAGCTTCAGAAGGTCACTGGCTTGTTTACCTGTGACATAGAGATAATGTCCCCACCCTATCCGACTGGACTTTTCTGCTCTTTCCATGCTGTTTGCATAACAACAAGCCATCATGTGACAGACTATATCACCCTAGTGGTGTCTAATCTATCTTCACTGTATAAACATACTCTGTGACGCTGGTACAATGCCTCCTGACACCTTTCTGAATAAACCCTATTTTTAAGCAATGTATGACTGTTAGACTTCAGACAAAATTATAAGACTGGTCTTAAGAGCCTTTCCTATTTCCTGCCACCTTACTGAGTTCATGTGTGGTTGTGAACTAACTAGCATTCTTTGGAGGCTAAGCTGAGCAATTAGGCACATATCTGGGTCACAGGCAACAGTTCCCATGTTGAATTACCATGTATCTACATATAATGATCTTTAGTGTGATGCTAGGCAGTAAATGGAAAAAATAAAATAAAAGATCCAGGAAACAAAAGCCTTTTGACAGTTTCTAAAGTGAATGAAAATGAGGACATGACCACTCCTAGGTCTGGTTGAGGAGAAGGGTTTTATTGTAGCTAGAGGGAGATCTCATTCAGTCAAAGGCATCTGGGGGCATCCAGACTGAACTGGGACATGAGAGGTGGGGGAGGGAGGAGAGCGAGAGAGGAAAAGGAGAGAGGCAAGTGGACCAAGAGAGGAGCTGAGGACCAAGAGTGTGTGTGGATGAAATGTCAGGTTTATACAGATGCTGGGGGAGGGAGGTGAAGCCTTTGGGCTGGAGAAGTTAGGAAGAGAGAGGTGAGAAGTGCTTGGAGGAGCCACAAGTACTGAGTGGACCTTGTCTTAGGTTTCTTTAGACTTGGC